TGTGCCTCTCGGGATGGGACAAGCCCGGCCAGAGTGGCAGGGGCTCAGTTGCATTTTCCCCTTACCTGTACTGGTCAGTCCCGAGTGGCACACAGCTCCACCGCCACTTCTGCTGGCCGGTGCTGACCTGGCCAGCCTCCTCCCGTCCCCAGCAGCATGTGGGAATCTGGCTTCAGCTGCATGCTGCTCCGGATGGGACAGACCCGCCCGAGTTGGCACCAGTCAGCAGAAGCAGTGGCGGAGCCGTGTGCCGCTCACGACTGACCAGCGCAGGTAGGGGGAAAGTGCAGCTGAGCCCCTGCTGCTCCAGCTGGGCTCATCAGCAGCCATTGGGAATCTGCTGAGGGGCTTGGGGAGGGACAAGGGGAGTTGGCACCAGTCAGCAGAAGCAGTGGCGGAGCCGTGTGCCGCTCACGACTGACCAGCGCAGGTAGGGGGAAAGTGCAGCTGAGCCCCTGCTGCTCCAGCTGGGCTCATCAGCAGCCATTGGGAATCTGCTGAGGGGCTTGGGGAGGGACAAGGGGTGGGAATGAAAGTAAACAGTGTTTACTTTCGTTTCCTGTTGCAGCACCTTGGGCCTAAGAAAATGGCTTGGTGGCCCGCATGGTGGCCCGCATGTTGGACAAGCCTGATCTAAGAACATGAGGGATCATTTGGGCTTTTTCACATTCACTTGCTGCAACTGACCCTGACCTACATATGCAGAAAATTACAGATGTAGGGATGTGAATTTTGACTTCTTTAACATTAATTTGTTAAGTAAATACTTCTCTTGCTGAGCACACTACATGAAGTTCAGCTTAATTTGGGTCCTGTCGTTATTAAAGCTGAGAATTACTATTTGGCCTAGGAAGCAATTTTCTCAGCAAATGGCAGCTGGCAACAGTATATCCATGGGCTTGATGCCTTGCTGGTAAGCTGCAATATGTCTCTCTACCATGAATTCCAAATGCCTGAGGTGATAACAGAGGGAGTTAGCCACTTTGGAACTGTCTGCTCCTTTCCTGAAGCTGGCATCCCTTCAAATCACACTGTTATGTTTAGCTCTTTAGGTTACTCTGTTACATCAAAGTAAATTTCCCTTCCCATATGAATCAAAGAGACCTCTTTATATTATTTCAATCCAGTTGTAATGAAATTATTTGCCAGGTAGCATGGAGAGTGGCATCCAGTTGGTAAGTCTGTTGTGGGGGAAGGGGCAAAGGGGGAGGGAAGGGGCATAGGGAGGGGGCAGATCGAGGTCCCCGTGGTGAGAGGGAGTGGAGCAGGGGTAGGTGTTGCACAGCCAGGGCAAGACACAGAGCAGAGCCACAAGTGGCTCATCTGAGGGTCACAGGGGGGAGGGGGGGATTGTGTGTATCCTGGGAGGGCATGAGGGGGCGTGTGCCCCTGAATCTGCGTGTGGGGCAGGGCTGGGGTGGTGCCAAGCTATTCCCGGTAGGGGCTGGGCTGGGGCTGCACTCAGGGCGGGGTGATGGTGCTGAGAAGGGGCTATGGGGGGAGGGCTGCAGCCGCCACCCCAAAATTTGCCATGCCCCCTGCTCCCAGGGCTGCTGCCACCCGCCCCAAATGCAGCCCAGCCCCAGCCCACAGCAGCAGCTTCCCTACCCCATGCACAGATCCGGGGGCACACTCCCCCTATGTCCTCCCAGAGTGCATGCAGGGGTGGAAGCCACCGCCCCTACCATGTACCCCTTGGATGAGCCACTCGCAGCTCTGTCCCCTGCTCCACCCCTACTGTGCAGCACCCACCCATGCCCCAGTCCTGCCCTTACCACAGGGCCTCGATGTGCCCCCTCATGCCCCTTCCCTCCCAACAGACTTACCAGCTGGACCTGGCTGTTCTCCACACTGCTGGGCTGTGCTCCTGGCTGCCTGAGTGTTGCACTGCAGCATTTATTGGTGACATTAATCGGCCACATCACCCAAAAAGAGCCGATTGCCAGGACTGTCAATTTTCCTTATTTTGGTGCCGATCCAATATGTGACCAATATATCTGTGTATAGAGGTGCACTGATGTATCGGTGCACCTCTACCTATAATCATTCTAAAAACTGCTTTATTTCACAAATATTATCTCATTAAAGAACATATCTAAACTGAATAATCAAATCCTTCAAGGGACTGATATAGTGATGTTACAAACATTTACATGAGTAGTTTTACTTAATAGTAGTCCCCCTGAATTGAAAGATGCTGATGCACAATTTTTCAGGGTTGTGAACACGCAATATTAAGATCCGATTCTTGTCTGGGATTTGCTAGTGTGGACCTCTGCATTCCATTAATGGGTCTGCACAGATGCTTCAAAGGTAAGTATTGTAGACGTATTTCTTCAGATTCCTGATTTGGGCCCTGATCCTGTGCATGTGGGCTGGTTATTTCATGAACAACCCTACTTAATTCAATGTTTACATGCATAAGCTTAAGCTTGCATGTGCTTAGGTGTTTGGGCTCTTTATTAGATTTCTCTACTGTTTGTCCCAATGTATTGATATTTCTCATGTTATCAGGGGCAACTCTTCCCCCCCCACCATATTCCCCCTGTCTATTCTACAGTAAAAAAAATATTGAAATATAACACATCACATATTTGCCTTCAAATTGTAATTTCTGAGTTCTGCACTTAGTATAATTACATAAATATACCAATGCAGTTATGCTCTGTATACAAAGGTGCTGTTGCATAATTACAGAAGCTTATTTGTTGATTTAACTATGCAACAAAACTCAAAGGAAATTCACTCACCAGTACTATGTGCAAAAGCAGTCAACAAGGATGGCTATGAAGGCCTTACCATAACTGATGTTTACTGGCAGGAATGTAGGCTCCTGAATTGCTAATAGAGCCTCATCAAAGTCAAGGGGACTGTGGAACAAACAGAGGTGTCTCACATGCAACCCAGTGCAGCCCTAGGCAGCAACTCCTGATATGCCCATGCATGTAACAGAGTTGATTTTTTTTAATCCTTCTGCTAAGATCCTTATCCTGCAGGCCTAAAACGTTCTCCACAGAAGATAATGAATAAGATGATCCATCTTGGGTACTAAACACAAATTTATTCTTTGCATGTAATATTTTGTGCAATATTCTGTGCCTTTCGTGACAAAAACCTGCAGTATCAGTATTCTTGGTATGCAATCTGCTGATATAGCCTAAGTAAGCACCGTCACTTACAACTCAGTACACTCTACCACTCCTTTAAAATGGTCAAATTGCATATTAAACCGTTAACTTACTTTATAATTAGTAAAAATAAAATTAAGCAGAATCAGTAAATGTAGCAAAATCAAATGAAGTAGAACTGAGAACAGAGCTAATCAGGAAATCACAAACTGAATACAAATAATATGTGGTGATTGTTTATTTATCTTTAAGTACTCCCAATAGCAATTGTGCTTGGGACCCTAGCTACAATTAGAGGGAAACTAACGCAGTCACCAGGAATTTCTATTGCAGAACACTTAACCCAGTATGTCCCCCCAAAACACTATATTACTTGTTCTCAATCTTTTTAGTCTCAAGGCACCCCTTGGAAAATGCCAGCTCTTAATTTTCACTTGATTTTTCGTTACAGAAAAATAATAGAGCAAATTTTACGTTGCAAAGAACTTGGAAAGACCACAACAGGGCAGAACATTTTTAACTATGGATTCCTATTTGAAATCTCTGGGTTTAGTTTGTGAACCATGTTGTTCACCTAGCAGAACTAATTACATTGTGTGATACCCCCTGGGACCCTTAAAAGTATCTCAAGGCACCACAGGGTGCTGTGGCACACTGGTTAAGAATCACTGCATTATATACAAGTGTTGTATAGGCTCCTAGTAAACATATAAATCTCACAGCCATGTGAGGGATTTCCAACACATTTTAGTGTGTGACTCTATTCTCCAAAACTTTTGAAGTAGAATGAGGCTCTCTTCATTCACTTTCTAATTTCAGAAAGTGATAAGCATTTGCTTGCATTTTTACATTTGCAGGTTTTTGATTAGCAAGATATTTTAATTGCTAATTATTTCTTTCATACTTCAATTAGTCTCTAAATTTCTTACTTACAAAGAACATAAGTTAACTAGCTCTAGTGTCAGAAACTGCAGAAAGGGAAACGTTATACTTTACAAGTTATACAAATTATTGATATTAAGTATTTGAAAAAACTAAGTCAGACATTTTCTCCAACGTCTGACTCTCAAGATCCTACATGTGCTGCAAACACGATGGCAATGCACTACATCAGGAGTTGGCAACCTACAACCGGCAGATGGAATCTGCCCCATGAAGTTCTGATTCGGTTCACATTTTATTAACAGTGCACCAGTCCATTTTTTACTAAGGGCAGGTCAAGTGCCTGCTGCTTCCCCACATACTACACCCTTTGCTTATATAGTCACTGTCAAATAAGCCACTCCAAATTGACACCCTTTTCAGCACTGTTTTTTGGCTGACGTTACATTAAAGGGGTAAAACAGCAACCCATGGGGTGGCAACCCGCAGTGGCAGCAGGGCTGGAAGCAGTGGCCTGCTGTTAGTAAAAGGTTGCTGACCCCTGCACAAGAGATCAGTTCATCTAATGAATTAGCTTTAAAAAGCCCCAAGTAATCCTAAAGTACAATTACCTGTCCTGTTAGGAGAAACTACTTCTTGTCAATGTATACAAGGGTGATGAACACATTTCTCAGTGGCTTCCTAATCATGTATCTTCCACTAAAATAAAGAAGCAAGATAGAATGAAAAAAAAAATCACATAAGCAAAGTTACCATTTTAGCATTTCAAAAGATACAGGCTAGCCACTTGCAGTGACTAGAGGAAAAACTCTTCTACCATGGACAAAAATGGAAAAAATCAACTACATGCTTCGTATGCGTTTTCATCTCCCTGTCAAGCTTCATGTACCTGTTGCTGCCTCAAGCAGACAGATGATTCAGAAGTCCATGCTCACACTGAATATATATATATATAATGTTGCTATTTTAAACAAAATTCAAATATGTTGAGATGATGCCAATAGTAGCAAACTTTCATAACTAATGAGATATTTGCCATAAAGACTTAGGTAATCCAAACTGAATGAAGAGACATAAAAGGGCATTGATTTACAAAGTTTCCCAGCTAAGACTGAGTGTTTTGTACAAGTGTGCTGTTTAAGGAAATGGGTTATAAACTTAGTAGTTTAAACTCTATTGTTTCTTCATGGTAATAAACCTATCTGATTAGAATTTCTGCCAGTGAATGACACCTAGACATGACCAGAGACCTGGAGAGTATTAAAACTCCGTTTTGTGGCACATCTACAGTACATAAAATATTTTGCCTACTCAGATTAACCAATTTCCTTACAAACGGCTGATCAAACAATAAAAAGTTTAAACCTGGAGTTCAGTCGTTCAGGACCCAACCACTGAACCCCGATCTCCCACAGCTCTCTGGAAAACCCCAGCCTCGGTGTTTACAGCTACTTGCTTTAACCGAGATGGATATTCGGAACCGGACATCAAATTCTACCACCGTGTAATGTCACACGGTTATATACCTGCATGCTTCAAATGACCCTTATTTCCCAAAACAAAAGTATCTGTATTTGTTCGGGGTTCACTACTGCCTCCCTACTCGAAGCCCTGGCAAGAACAACATTGAAAGGCAGGGCTGCTTCTCCGCTGTATTCAGACATTCAGCCCTTTGGAAGCACAGACAATCTTTTGGTGCTGTCTCGTGTGGCGTCTGACAAAACGAGGCCCTAAGCCGGGTTCGTGCTCATCGCAAGACACCGGCAGCTCGGTTCCTTTTTCCAAAAATGACACGAACGTCCTCTCGTCCTGGGAAGGCCCCAAGCTCCTTCCCAGGAGGGGCAAGGCCTCGTCGTTGCCACCCCCCCCGCGGGGGCGGCCTGGGCTCGCGCAGGACACGGCGCGACA